CAGCACACGGCACATCATCATCGTGAGTGTGGTCGTTCAGTGGTGTGGAGCTGATCTGCACAGTGAGGGGCATGGAGAGCAACAGGGGAGACGAGAGGTGCGGCAGACACACACAGAGGGCACACCACATGAGGAGAGGGCAGCAGCCAGGCATGCACCGTACGCCGCACACCACGCACGACACACACTCCAATCCACGGCAGCAGGCACACACACACACACAGCCCTGCCGCAACACCAACACACAGATGGAGGAGGGAGAAGCAAACAGGAGCGGCACACAAGGCTCCACCGCATGTACATACGGCGAGAGCGGTCCGTCGTGTCGGCACCCCTCACGGAGGGTGCGCACACACACAAGAAGGTGCAGCGCACACAGCAACACAAAAGCAAAGTAACAATACAAAAAAGGAGATCCCCGCACACCACGCGGACTGTTGGTCCACGGGAAGTGCAGCCAATATTCACCACAAAACATTTGCAGTAGGCCTTCGTCCACATTCATCGCACTCCACTTCATGCAGGCACAGTCACCACAACTGCGGCCGCATAAGTAACAACAACAAGAAGCAAAAAAGGGAGGTGAGGTGGGAAACCGCATCGATGCTGTCACTGTCGCCAGGCGCCGCTGGGTCATTCGTTTTGTCTGTGGCTGTAGATGATGTTGTTTCTTTCTCGCTGCCATCCTCTCGTTCACGTTGGTGTTCTCCCTCCGGCACAGCGGCATGAGATGCGGAACCACCGTTCAAAATCTACGCATTGCCAGCGTCAGCGTCATTAGCAGCGGCAGCATCCGCAGAAGAATATGGTGAAGCTGTCTCAGCCTGACCCTCAGTTATTGCATTCTGCCTTGCATCCGCTGTTGGTTCAGTGCCTTTTCTGCAGATCTTCTGTTGGCTTCATGGTCGCTGGAACTTCCGTTGAGGATGGCAGTGCGCTGTGTGGTGGCGATTTCGGTGGCGGTTCTGATGGGTCTGCTGGCGCCTCTTCTTCTGCTGCTGTTGGCGGCAATTCCTCCAATGCTTCTTTTTTCTTCCGGTGCCGCTTCCTCCTCTGCACCTCCTTTTGCCGGCGGTTTTGGCTGTCGCAGGGGCATTGGCCGTGCTTCTCCCTGTTCTGCTGCACCGGTCGTAAACGATCGATAATTTCCAGAGAGCGACTTTGAAGCAGACTCTGTGCCCGGATGTCCAGGGGAACGACTGGTGCCTGAAGCAGACAGTCATTCGGGTGCTTCAGCCGCAGGTGCATGCTCTGCATTGTGCGCGCTGCCAGTCAAACATTACGGATTTCTTTTTGCTCCTTTCACCACATCCCCTGGTCCTCCTGAGCCCATTCTGGCACTCCCTGTACCACGGACACACTCTGTTCAGCGTCAGTCGCTGTTTGAAGCTGCGGTGTTCGCTCTTGACTGTCGCCGTTCGATGCGCCCCGTGTGAGACCCGAGCTGGGTGCAGCCGCATGCTCTGCTGAGTCCTCGGACGGCTGCGTCGCATGTGCTGTTTGTCCTTCTGCTGGTGCTGGTGCTGGAGATCTCCGTGCGCTCTCCCCCGTCCTGAGCACGTGTGGCCCTTCT